GGCTCCACAGTGCATTCCCTCCACAGACCCATAGTATAGCGCAAGGTAAAGGAGGACGCCTTTCATTACGTTATAGCAAAACATTCAACGGCGGGATCTTCCGAAACCAGAAAAATAAGTATTATTTATCGCGGAGGAAGAAAAAAAACAGAATGATAACAGTGAAGTCTCATTTTTGTAGGATGGAAAGTTGATCAATGCCCGCATTTCATAGTCATCTAATCGCGCCTTCCAGCAATTTTACGTGTTACAGTCGATATTAGGGTGGCCCATAATTTTGAGTTTTCGGAAGTTTAAAGTGCGGCACCCTCTAATGGTTCAATTTAAAGAGAAAATAACGTGAAAAAAATACGAATGGGGGAAAAAATGTAAAACGCATCCCTAAGAGCCAAAAGCCGCGAGCGCTGCGCGCGAAAACGCGTTTTCCAGCCATTTCGCGGAATTTTTCCCCCTTTCAAACGTTGCTACGGCTTTAGGAATAACACTATTTTGAGAGTACTTACAAAAAAAAATAACCCAATTTATCTCGCCCATGTTAAAATGTCCTTTTCTCTCCCTCAAAGTGGCCACATAGTGCGATTTTTCGTATCAATCTCCCCGCAAGGTGGGTCTTTTTTCTACCTTTAAAATGTTGCTGAGGCTTTGAAATTTTCTGAAATAGCGCACTTTTTTAAGTTCTTCTTGAGAAAATTAACAAAATTTACCTCGCCACTCTTAAGATGCTCCCTCCCCTCTTCAAAGTGGCCACATCGTGCGATTTCGTCGATTGTTCGTATCATTCTCCCAGCACGGTTTGCCTGAACGAGTATAAATTTTTTGACGCGTCAAAAGCAGAAACTCTTCAGATTCTAGAAGTGGAGTGTCTACCAAGTCATGTAAGCTAAATGGAAAGCAGATTTTTTAAGCTTCTGGAATACAAAGTCGATTTAAATGTATTTCGGGGCTAAAATGGGCAAATTTGAAATTGCCGGTATAAAGTTCCGTTATATTATTGTACTGAAAATAAATTTCCTAGATGGTTATAATGCCTAAGTTTCTTAGATATGGTTGTTTAATGTAATTGAACACTAATAATAGTACCACCGATTTTAGGCATATGGTATGTTTTTGCGACCTAAAACTATACCTATTAAAGCTGAAAATTGCTTTCCCATGGAACCTTCCAAAAAATGACCGGCTCTTTAGGCAGTCGAACTGAATATCGTCGTATCGTCGTTCCATCTAGGTAATATTGAACTGATGTTGCCACAGGCTTTTGGGTCCTTTTGCAAATGCGTTCAGCACATCGATACTTTACTATTTTGAGGGGACTCACGTCGAGGAGTCGATGTATCGATTCGTTTTATCGATTTTTCACTGAACATCGGTGCTTTCTCGGGATTGAAATTCGCTATTACGGATTCACGTAAGAGTTGATAATTCGAAAGAGATCGAAAAAAATCAATATAACGAATCAATACATCGACTCTCTCTTATTTGGCTATTTTCTCCCTTTTGAGAAACTTTCTTCATCAAATAGTTTCTTCGTCTGTTCCTAGCTTGATNTTTTTCCTGTGAGCGAATGCTATGTTGTGTAGTGTATTTTTGGAATCATGGTGATACTGTCAATAATTCAAAACGGGTCTGTGCTTTAATCTCGCACTGGAAAAAATGTACTTTACGTTTAAAATTTGAAAATTCAAATCTATAAGTTTTCGCGCTTTTTTCGAAGAATGCCGTGGTTGGAGCTTCCTAGTCATACTACTCGATATCAGCTGATAGCAAACAAAGGTTACCAAGGAAACCGTAAACGCGTAACAACTACCTACCGTCGCCAGAGCCGCTTTCCGACGCGAATGCGTTGGAGCTTCCAGCTTGTTTCGATTTCTAGACTCTCTTTCACATGTCAGGGCACGCCAGGTAACGTTGAACCCCCCCCCCCCTTGAAAACTGTGTCAGGCTTAGGTCAATCCAATGTTATAGGTATAAACCATCGTCTTCCCTCCAAAAGGTATACCTGTTAGTTCAGGGACGGCTCCGTCACAGAAAAGTAAAATCCCCGAGCTAGTAATAAATTGAGAATGAGAAACGATTTTGGCAGTAATTGAAACGATACTTACAGAAGACATCTTTAGAATTCTAACGGTGTACATACTGCCATACAAAGGTAAAAATTCATAGTGCGTTGCCAAACTTCTCCCAATAAAGTATTTATATTTCAGGAAAGTTATGAATATGTTTTTTTCAAATGTTCACATACTCTCAAAATTTAGGGTTCTATTTGATCTCAGTTTTTTCTTGGTAAAATTACAATTTACGGTTATTACATTTTACGGAGAAATCTCCGTAAAATTATTGAACTTTCTCGGTAATTTTACTGGACCTTGGTAAAAACGCCAATATTTTTTATCGACTGTGGTAGAATTACCGAGATAAAATGGAAAAGTTACCGGGAATTGATTACCAATAAAAGTGATATTCTTACCTGAAAGAAAATAGTAAAAATACCGGTTTTTAGGTAAACTTATCAGTCTGTCTTAGTAAAATTACCAATATTTGTTTAAAAAAAAGTGAGATGGTAAAGGTATACCAACGGACCTTGGTAAAAACGCCGAGAATTTTTTTTCAGTGTGAAACGCGCATTAAAGGCCATAAGAATTTGGTCTTTTGATGCACGCCAAGTGATTTTTTTTTTACTTGAAGCCCAAAATTTGGCAACTGTTTACGAGCGTGGAATAGGAGCCCGCTGCCACCGATCCACACCTGCATTCGTGCGCTGTCGTTTCCCCCAAATGAATACACGACTTTATACTTACTCCGACACCGGCGGCGCTGCCAACTTACGGCTTCGATACCGGAATCGTGACCATAAACCGGGATACGAAGATGCTCGTCCGACAATGCGAGGGGAAAGCAGATCGCGCCGAACAGAAGCTAAGAGGCATCGAGGTGACATTTCCGCTGCACGCGTGTGAGAAAAAAAACAGGAGCTCCCGCGGGTTTTCCTCGCGAGGGGAACTGATCTGCCGTACCGCGGAAAAACCGCGCAACTGGAATCTAATGGAGATCTCACATACGGGGTGATCTAAAAGTCTCGTATCGCCCGTGTGACTTTTGAAAGTGCTCATGGGATGATGAAAACTCAGAAAACTAGAGTACCTGTATAGCGAGAGTATGGACAGATCGCTTCATGGAGGTCTTAGGGCCCAAAAGTGCAACCATCCCTCTAACCAACTTGTACCACACAAAATTTCACTGCCAGTCTGCAGAGTCTGCAAATTCCAATTCTAATCAAGAAGGCCAAGAAAGTACAGAAATGAGCCTTCTTCCGCAAAATGAGTAAATTTTTGCAACAACTCAGTCAAATACGTGCTTTATAAACGACGGTTCGCAACAATAGTATTAGTAAATCGTTCTGGATAATTGAAATTCATAGGTTGGCTGCATTTCTGGGCCCTAACTATATTCGCAGAAGCATCGGTGAAGGCCTGATGAATTTTCAGAGTTTCACATCTGTCCATACTCTCACTAACAGGTACTCTAATGAAAACTATACTGGTCGATATAAACCTATTACCAATCCAAAATAATGACCTGGTAATGTTGGAATTTTCAAGACCATGATTGGTTGCTATAGTTGAGTCTCGATTATGCGCGTTTCGATTATCCGCGATTCACATTATCCACGATTCGCATTATCCGCGACCCACATTATCCGCGGGTTTTCAATGGCTCTCTCATGGAGTATGGAAGAAAATTTGGCGGTCAATCTGAGAGAGATTATCTTCAAAGGCATGGCAAATATTGCAGCCCGAGACGGTTGCATTATTGCAATTCTACGGCGCAAACCACTGAAAACTATTTCTTCCGGGTATAATTTTCCCTAAAGTTGCTTCTATGAAGGTGAAATTTATTCATCATTAACTATTAATTACATTTCTGTCTAATATTTTTCAAGTTTTTTGAGAACCTTTTGAAAAACAGTCTTCTTGATCACTTATCCCAGCCAAAAAACTTATAGTTTCAGATCATCCGCGATTTTCGTTTATCCGCGATTTTTGATTATGCGCGATTTTCGATTATCTAATGTACTTCCGGTCCCAATCCCTCGGATAATCAAGAATTTACTGTAGTTTGAATATAGATCGACTTAAAAAAATGTACCGAGAGATAAAAAAAGGTCGAGTCCATGGTTCTCTGCAAGAAATCCGGTCCCCTGAAAGTCTATAGGGGTATCAAAAGTAGTTTTTTTTTAGCCCACGGACACTCCCAAAATGTCAAGTCTCTCTGATTGACTTAGAAGTTACATCGATAATGCAGCACTTTTGGGTCATCCTGTAGATACGGGGTTCTTGCTAAGCACAACAGTGATCTCCTGAAGCCCTGATGGAGGTGAGGGTGTTCGGGATTTCTCGGTTCTTGTAGGGCTGTCAAGTGTCAATGGTGACGGATCTGCTCCGAAAGGGGTTCCCTCGCGCGTGTGAGTTTGATCCATTGCATCCCAGAGGGAGATCATCCTGCAACTCATGGACCACGTAACTTTTATCTCAAAACGTAAGCACATCGGTGGTTTCTGCTCATCGAGGCGGGAATCACTGAAAGAGCGCAACACGTATGAAACAAGATAAGTTAAAGATGGTTAAACTTTTCTTAAGGAACTGACTAAAGTTTTCGAATAGAGTTCTTTTGGTCGAATTTGGAATTGCTAAAAGTGAACACTCGCCGGGACCTATAGAGAGACTTGGTTGGCAATTTGCTATTTTTGCGAATTTGTAGACAAACATTTCTACTCAAAAGGACAAAATATCGTTATTAGGAACTTTATACTATTTCTAGCGCGCACATAGAAGCAACCATCTACATCGGGGAACTAATAGTAGGTTTTTCTCTGAAAATGAGCCAGATATAGTCGTTCTTTTTGCAAAATGAAGTCAAATTATAGGGTAGAAAATATAATTGCACTAATACTATGTGCATGCCTATTATATTTTAAATTGAATTATCTTGAAAAGAAAACTTACTCACATTGAAAGATGAAGATTGACCATTTTCTGAAAAAAGAAAACGTAGATCATTAATGCCGGCTGGTAAAAAATTATAAATTTCAGTCAAAAAATACAAATGTAGGAAAGAACTTAAAGACCATTACTGAAAGAAACCTCCTTGAATTAGACAATCATTAAATAAAATCAAGTATCAATAAAAGAAAGTATGTAAACAAAACAGAACGAATAAAAAATCTACATGAGAGTAAAGTCTGCAAGACAGAAAATACATACATACACATGACAGAAGTTTGCAAGAACCACATAGATGATAGAATAACTGTTCATATAAGGTTGACAAAAAAGGCTGAAACCTATCGAAAATCCTAAGAAAAGAAATTAAGCTGAGACTTAGAGGAACATTGAGACATGGAGACATTGTATACATTGAGATTTGCGTCTAGCATCAAACTCCGAGCTGTAGTTTTGCAAGCTTTAAAAGATCACTTGAGTGAGCTTTTGTGCTTTAACAAGACACTCAGAACGGAGGTAAAACAAGATAGTGGAGGATTGGGACACCTGTGCCAAGTTTTGCTTACTTCGCACGTATATTATTTGAAATATGCATAATATTTCATAAAATGGCAACGCTGGATCAGAGAAAAGCTCTGAATCCGTCGCTCGAAGGCGGAGGGATTACATGCTCATGAAATTCAACCGCGCGAGGAGTGAACTTGAAATCAGATAGATGCGTTTACACTCGCCGAACAAGTAGGTAGGAGCTTGAATACCTCGGCATGCATTTCTGGTTCATACTCGTGTGACCAAAAATTCTATCTCTCACCTCGAAAGCGACCTGTATCTTCTTTCTGCAACATTTTGTACTCACTCTCCCTTTCTAGAGCTGAGTCTTTTAAATTGTCTTATCTCCTTGACAAAGTACACTTGAGGGGCTTGGAGGACAAGGTGCATAAGTGCAGTTTGTGCTATATAGAGAAATGCGTGTTTAAATTTGCGAAAATACATGGACCCTTATGGTGGAAAGAAAGTTCAAACTGACCTTTTGATGCTTAAAAGTTGGAATTTGGGAGCGAATTTTTCGCTAGTTTTACTTGAATTCATGAGCATCTCAATTTTTTCAAAAAACTGTTCTTTTGCGCTTTGTCTTTCAAGTCCCTCGCTGCTGCATGACTTCAAGGTCATTTAAACCGAAATTAATAGAGAGGGACCTAGTCACATTGAAATCGAACGAAGGAAATGAGGTTCGAGGGGCTTGGAGGGCAGGGCGCACAAGTGCAGTTTTTGCTATTTGAGATTGACGTGTTTGAAGTTTTGAAATTACATGGATTATTACGGCCGAGAGAAAGTTTAAACTGATTTTTTGTTACTTTACAAATTGGAATTTGAAGGTGGATTTTTCACAAAATATGCACTACGGCAAGTTTCACTTGAATTCATCAACATCTCAATGTTTTCGAAAACTGCACTTATGCGCCTCGTCCTCCAAGGCTTCTTAATTCAACAATATAAGACCGGGTATGGAAAAAAGAGGGACTTAGAGTGAGGAAGACAAGGTTTGAGACATGAGTATACCAACACTCTAAGTCTTTCATGTTAAATTTAACCAAGAAGTTGGTTTTATTAGCCAATCTTCTGCCACTCACGATCGAACTTCGGTTTCATCATCCTTGTTCTTTTCATTCATTTACTCATTGAAGAGCCTTGAGCGGTGTCGCAGAGCGCTAGAGAGCACTGTGAAGCAACTTTTATGCATGCATTCATTTACTCGCCGATCGTTGACTCCTTTAAAAAATTCGCTGGTGAAATATTTGCAAAACTCACAAGCAAAATTGCACTCAAAGGAGCGCTGCACCGCAGGAAACGCACCTACTCTCCCCTTCAAGATAAGCGACAAAGTAAACGAATATATATAAGTTGAGTTTATGAGGAGAGTGGAGAGAAGATAAGTGTCTTCGCGAAATGATGCTTATGAAGAAAAGTCGCTTTACCGCAACTTTTAAGAGCTTTTCAGCAGTACGTGTTTTCCTTTGTGGCCGCTACTGTGGAGCTCGCACATTCTCTTGTGGTATGCTATGTCATCTTTTTGATATCAACGTTCCCGTAGAATTAACAGACCTCTTGGTGTACATTGGAATAGTATTTTGTGTCACATCTAAAAATGTTTCTTTCACCAAAAATTTGAATTTGGTTCTGTAGACTGAGCAGACGACACATTTAACGTAAGAATGATCGATATTTATTTCCTTATTATGATCGACATCTTGAGCTGGATCGTGATTTTACTTGGTAGTTCTCAGTAAATATCTTAAACAATAATGTCTTTAACAGTAGTGTCTATAAATAGTCAATTGAAGATGCTATTACAGATTGGTAATATTTTTATTAAGCCGCAGTGAATATACACCCGTTTCATTATCAAAACAAATCAAAACCCATCAATCATCTCTACTTGGAAAAAACCGGCTTGATTTAGTTTCAATCGGACCGCCTTATAAGCAGAAACGAACCAAGCCACGTCAGCTATTGCAAAATTCAAGAAATCAATTTAATTGTTTACAAGAGAACGATTATTCGGATTTCTGTATAGTTGAGATTCTGCTTAATGCGAAGCAAATTCCTTATCATTTTCAAAAAAAATCCGCACAAACGTTCTATTGTAAAAAATTATATTGCTCATGTTAAATTTGACAATAACTGATGTGATTTGGTTCCTTTCTCTTAAACGCAGTGAAATTGCTATCAAATTCATTATTTTTTTTCACCGAGCTGTTCCTAAGCCCTCATCAATTCTTAAAATCCGGATTTTTTTTTGTTTTGTTTAAATGTATCAATATTTAACAAATTATTGTGACGAATATCCTATTTTTTCGTGTCAGTTCTACTTCCCATATTAACGCTGAAAGTCGGTTACTTTTTCTTACTGAGTAGATTATTTTTTCCAGCAACCCGTTCCTAATCCCCGTCAATTCTTAAAATTCAGATTTGTTTTTGTCTGAATTTTTAGAAATTTAACACAATTGTGACGACTATCCTATTTTTTCCGTGTGTGTCCTATTTCCCGTATCAACGCTAAAATTCGGTTACTTTTTCTTACTGAGTAGATTATTTTTTCCAGCAACCCGTCTCTAACCCCCGTCAATTCTTAAAATTCAGATTTGTTTTTGCCTAAATTTATAGAAATTTAACAAAATTGTGATGACTGTCCGATATTTCCTTGCGTGTCCTACTTCCCGTATTAACGCTAAAAGTCGGTTACTTTTTCTTACCGAGTGGACGACCGGAGAAAAACGGGCAACCCGCGACACACCTCGCGGTAAAGACGGGCGGGATGGATAGGTGCGAGTAATCCAATTAGAGTTGGGGTGGTCTCGGAAATCTGTGTCAACCCTCTTCATGCGCTACAGTTGGCGGGAACTTTGAGGCGAAATGCTGGAGACCACTTCAAAATGCCGACCACCTCTACTCGCAATGAACTCAAGGGCAGATGTTGCCACTTAGATTCTCGATTCAAAACCACATAAGAGTAAACAGCTTCTGCTGGAATCAACTCGGATGACGAGGACTGGGAGTAATTTGTCGTGCAATGGTGAAAGCACGTAAGTTGATTTTCGAATGAGCCTTTAAAAGTACGGATTTTTACCTATGACAGGGTTCAGCAATAGATAGAGTTGTGTGATCATCAGAGGAGTTGAATTTTTTTCATTCAAGTGGTGCTCAGTTAAAGTGGTTTTTGCAGGATTCGTCGGTGAACCGAGCAGGAAGGTTTGCTTTCAACTCATTCGCAGATAAAACGATTCGCTCATGGATTTTCATGTTGCTCTAAAATTCTTCTAATTTATGTGTCTCATTTGGACTGGATTAAACAGAGAGGATTCGAGTAATATTTAGTTACAACAGAGAAAAATTAGGCAGGTTTAATGTTTGCTTTTTTTAACAGCTCTTTGAATGAAATAATTATAATTAATTTAAAAATTAATTACAATGATATTTGAGATACTCCAAATTATTTGTAGGCTCTATTCGCTTGAAAATTGGACTGAAGTTGTTTTAAAGCGGTGTGCGTTCTATCGTCGTGAGCGATGTTACATTGGTATGGTGACGAAGATCTCGCTCATAAATACAACGTGGAAAGTTTATGGAAAGTGGACCTAGGAGAACACGTGCCTTAATAGTGACATTTCAAAATTTTTGAGCATTCCGTTTTTTCAAGAGAAAATTACTTTGCTTTTTGGGATCCCTTTTCGCGGCACGTTTTCAAGAGGGCGATAAAAATTTTCTCACGATTTTATGCAATAATAATGACCAGTTTTCTTCGGGAAAGCTAAATACGATTAAAAATCGTTTAACACAATTACGCCTCTTTTCTACGTTCATTTTTAGTAAGATGTCTTGATGCAACTATTGGTGCTCAGGGGCTGTCTGTTTTGCATATCGTAAAAACTTAAGGCGCTCTAGGTCTCTCGACCTCAGAGAGATGCGCTCGAATTCTCATTTAACGTAGCAGTCACTTAGCAACTAATGACTTTAACAACAGGCAATTAAGTTTGTCAAATATGTCACAAGTACTTAAGATTGATTGCTTTGACCTGTCACTTATCAACCATCATTACGCAAATATTGAACTGGTTCTTGAAAGTAATAGCTATACTTTGGAAAGCTATATGTAAAGGTAGGGGCTCTGGAAAATTTTGCTTTCCCTTCATGGTAAAGAAACAGATTTTCGATAATTTGACAACATAGACTGCAAATCCTGTCCGAAAAGCACGCACCGGCCATTAGCAAGCCTGCCAATCGTAAATTTCCCCGCTAACTAACTGGAGAGAGATCCGCAAAAAGAATGGCACAAAAAGGCTTGTGGGAGGTTTTGTTTGTCGCCGCGACGATCCTTATTCTTAGTCAATGTGTGTGCGTACGGTCAATTAGCCAGGTAATTTAAGAGGTCCTCCCTGTTACTAACTCTGCTTATACAAACCCCCGACTGCTTTGATTAAAACCAAGCCTCCTT